AGGAAAGTATAACGTGTGACGTGCAGTCAGTATGTCCAACCAGCCAAGGCTACACCATAAGAGTTTCTCCAGAGTGTGTGTGTGTGTGTGTGTGTGTGTGTGTGTGTGTGTGTGTGTGTGTGTGACTTATTATCATGTCTTCAAATTGTGAAAGTCACTACAAATGGCAGGTTCAACTGCAGATGAGGTTTTTACATAATGTGTTAAGTGAAGCCCTCTATCATGGGTCTGTGAAGATGAAGACTTTGTCTTGCTTTGTAAATAGTCAAAATGCAATGGCAGTTGCACAAACAAAAAGACTTTCCCCAGCAAAGGGATAAGGAATACGAGCCCTTTGCCCATGGCACTTCTGACATTCACCCAACAAATGTTCAGAACTTCTCACCCCTACCCTGTAACACTGATAAAACCCACATGGGTCGCCAAGTTGGCCTTGGCGGCATCTCATATTTTGGTCTGTAGTTGTTCCCAATCTCGAATGAATAGACATCTGTTCATATCTTCCCTGGTGTAGTGTCACACAGAAGGTCATCAGTGTAATTGTTGTGCAGTTCAACATTGCTCTGGGAGCTTCAGAAGCAGCTTTACATGGGACATGGAAACTGATAGGGACAGTGCAATCTGAAGACAGCACTAATGTATGTGCTGTGCGTGGGCTCTACATCATGGGTAATGTAGCTTCTTTTCTTTTTTTAATTAAAATAGATTAAGACAAATTAATGTATATATAATGAACAGTAGCTCCTCAGCGGAGCAATGAGCCTGACCCTTACATCAGCCCAGGCTGTTCAGCTGAGTGATCCTATGATTCAGCAGCTGAGTCATGAGGCCACTTGTCAGACCTGACATTTGCAAGTGTCTGCTCTGTTCAACCCAGGGGCTTTTGTATCACCCTACTTAAGGGAAGATTAATTATCTGATTTATCATTGATATAAAAAGCCAAAGACATTAAAAACAATTACTAACATTAGATGGAAACATATTTATGAATCTAAACTATCAGCTGGGAAAAGATGATTTTCTTCCATAAAACCACTACATCATGTGTATTTGGGGAAGTGGAGAAGTGAGGAGGGTTAACCTTAGTCAGAATATATTGTTATCTATTTTCAATTAAAAATATTTATTATGTTCAGCTCTAACTTTAAATAATATGCTAATTTTGAAAATAGTTTAACGTAGCAGCTTTGGCTCTTGCACCACAATTAATTGAATATAAGGATTTTAAGAATTCATTGATTTGGGCTCACTTCTCTTATCCCATAATGAAGAAACAAGCTATCACAACTGTATAATCAACAGTTGCCAGGTAGAATGATCACACTGTAGTCTCAGCACTCAACACTCAGGATGCAGAGGCAGACAAATCTCTGTGAGTTTAAGGCTGGCCTAGTAGTCTATGTCAGAGTTCTGTAGTGAGACTCTGCCTGTACATGAACAAACAAACCAACACTGAAGCCAGTAGAGATGGCTCAATGAAGTCAACTTAATTCCTTTCTCTCTGCAGCCCTGGCGGACATGAGACTCACTATGTGGATCAGGCTGACCTCAAACTACAGAGATCCCGTTTGCTCATACTTGCACTAATGTTGAAGGCTAATGAAGCCAAGTCTGTGGAAGCACTGTATTTGGGTGACACTATATATATGGGGAGCATGGCAACATGCAGACAGGCATGGTGCTGGAGAAAGGGCTGAAACATGCTGATATGCAGACAGCAGGAAATAGATTCAGTGTCACACTGAGGAAAGCTTGAGCAAAAGAGCTCAAAACCTGCCCCCACAGTGAAACACTTCCTGCAGTAAGGCCACACTTAATTTCAACAAAGCCACACCTCCTAACAGTGCCACACTCTTTGGGGGCCATCTTCTTTCAAAACACCACACTAGGATTAACAACATCTCATCTGCATCTTTAAAATAAAATCTGTGCTCTGGAGAAGAGAGCCCAGAAGAGTAAGAGTACAAGATGGCAGAGAGGGAGTCATGGAAGCAACCACCTTAAGCATGGCACAGGCTTCAGACGCTGGCATAGGCAGCGGCAGTCACTTTCTTTGCTTTGTGGAATTACATCAAGGCTGGCTGTGCACGGAGCTAAGAAATGGGCTTCTGGGTTTGACTGCTACAGTTTGAGCTTGAGCCCCTGGGTAAACAGATGCCCTACTCAGGGAGCCTGGCTTGAGAAAGCAAGATTTTCAGGAGAAGGTGTGTGCTGGTGGCGTTTCGGGACCTAAGACTGCTTTCTCATCATCTGGAAGCCTGTCATGTTCAAGACCCCATTTGGTAGTTATTGAAACAGGGCAGTGGCCCTTGCAGATTTGTTACCTTTTAGGTGTTTGTTTGTTCTCTTAAAAGGAAAAGTAAATCTATCAGCCAGTGTCCTCTGGGGCAGCAGGACAGAATGAATGCAGTAAAGGGGATTGATTAGGTTGACTTATCTGGTATGGTCTGTGGAGTCCAACAATGGTTAATCATTCTCTAGAGGCTGAAGCCCAGCTAGCTGCTGTCACAGGACTTGGGACCTCAGAAGCCTCAGTAAGTCACAGGAGGCCAGGAGGGCTCAGGAAAGCCGCTGATCTTCATGCCACATTTGAAGGCTGGGTGGGTTCTGATGTCAGGAAATACGTGGGAGGTGGAGTGGTAGTGTGGTAGCAGTGGTGGCAGCAGGCAGCAGCTGCAAGAGCAGCAGCAGCAGCAGCAGCAACAGGCAGCACTCCATCCAGAAGTAAAGGCAAGCAGGTACAGGGTGTTTTTTCCCTTGGACCCCCTCATATCAGGGTTGCCACATTTAGGGTGGATCTTCTGACTTCCAATTAAGGAATCAAGGAAATTTCCCACAGGCATGCGCAGAGGCTAATCTACATAATCCTTCACAGGGTTTCCTAAAAGTGTGTCTGGTGGATGATTCTAGACCCTGCCAAGCTGGCAATCTATGAACCATCACAAGAGGCCTATCAGACTTCACACTAAGTTGTTGTATGATAAACTGCAGCCATTGTGACACTTAAAACCAGGAGACAGAACACCTTGAGTCAATAAAATAAGAGTAGGCCTGGCTGGGAGCAACCCAACCAACAAACATAGAGACATGGGAAAGAGGAAACAAGGAAAGCCTTTCACTAGGGTTATTCAACACTCAGCAAGTCACTGAGGAAAAAAATGTGACTAGGAGCCAGCACTAAGAATCACTGTCCCGGTTAGTGTGACTCTTAAGCCAGCATAAGAATTACTGTACCAGTTGGTGTGACTCAGAGTCAACATTAGGTAACTCTGTACCAGTTACTGTGACTTGGAGCTACCATTAGGACTCACTGTACCAGTTAGTGAGACTCAGAGCCAGCACTGGGACTCACTGTACCAATTAGGGTTCTCCAAAGAACAGAAGGGACAAGAAAAGTTCATGTAGTGAAAAGGGATTTATTAGACTGAAGTAGAGGAAATGTTTCTAGTAGGCCAACAATGGCCACCTCATACTGGAAGCTTTGAATCTAAAAGTCATTTGGTCCATGAAGCTGGATGTCTTGGCAGTCCCTATCTGACACTAGAAGCGTGGAGGACTCCTGAACTGATGGTAGTCAGCCTACATGATGATCCTGAAGGCATGGGTTCTAACACTGGTGAGGGATAGCTGAACTTCCAGTGAGGGAAAAGAGTTTCCATCTCCATGTCCTTTTATCTGGACTGCCATGGGCTGTTACCTATACCTTAAGGTGACTCTTCTTGCTTTAAAAACCCCTCACAGGAGTGCCCAGCAGGTTTTAGTTGACTCCTGATGCAGTCAAACTGACAACAAAGATTAGAGACGCCACACAAGCACACCAACCAGGTAAAAGATGTACCACGCTACTTCACAAGAAAAGAAAAAAGTGAATGGAATATGAGGAGCTAGTTTATATACTGACTCAGGTCAATAAGGTACATTAAGTGTATCTAGTGGAGTACTATGCAGCAATGAAAAATAATTAGATATACTTTGGTGGCCTGCAAATATTCTCACAATTTACTGAAGAAAAAAAAAAAAAAAAAAAAAAGCATAGTAAGCTTTAGCATTGCTACCCTAAATGGTGGCTTGATGCCCCCCCCCCTTACCATGGATACCATAAACAAACATTACCTTTAGCAGGAAAATTATAAACCTTCACCTACACTTTCACTTTGGAATATGCCTCTATAAACACCAAGAAGTACAAGCTTAAATCATTACAGTTCCTTTGGTAATGTGAACCCAAGGACCCCAGAAAGAGCACTGTGAAGCTAGTCTGCAAGTACACAGACTTGGATCAATGGCTTAAGTCTATAATGTCAGTACTTGGTAGCTTACAGTGGCACTAATGGACCCCCCCAAATCACACAAAGACACAGGTATAATGACACTATACAGTCTGAATAAAAGAACTATGATGAATTGGGTTTTGGGGGGTTTTGTTTGTTTGTTTTTGATTTTTCAACACAGGGTTTGTCTGTGTAACTTTGTAGACCAGAAGATCTGCCTGTCTCTGTCTCCTGAGTGCTGGGATTAAAGGTGTGCACCACCACTGCTCGGTGATGATTTGTTTTAAAATAAAAGAACATAAATTATTTATTTTATTTAAATTATAATAACCACAAAAATTTACTCAATTGTTTCAAAAACAAGAATAATTACTTCAAGTAATTTAAACCCACTACCTCAGGCACTACATTCTGTCCATTTCAGTACTGCCATGGAAATACATTTCTGAACACAGATACAATATACATATGACTGTGACTTCAACCTAATTCTAAAAGCCATCTCCAAAAGTCAAGCACCTGGTCTCTCTCTAAAGAAGTCACAGCTCACTCACTGAATGGACAGCTCCTTGGAGGATCATCGAGAGGAGACAAGCTCTGTTAATTCTGGAGTGCAAACTCATGAAAAACAGTTCTCTATGAAACATGTCCTACCTTCAGAAAAGTTAAACCTAAGATGACTTAAAATTACAAGGGTTTTTTTTTTTTTTAAATAAAATCAATGAACATCTACAATGTCCAGTGTTTGTATGTTGTATGATTACTCAATTCTTTTTTAACTTCCCCCACATTATCAAAAACATCTACTTATTAATTCATTTGACTGTAAAACTTACAAAACTGTTTTTAAAATACTTCATGCTCAAAGAAGGCATTTCAGCCCACTTACTTTTATAAGTCTAATCGTAACAATTCTGGGTTTTTTGAATAATCCTTTTATTAGCTAAAAAGTTATGAATGTTAACTTTGGGAAATTCTGTTAGATGATTGTAAAAGCTTCTGAAAACACTTTACTAACATCCAAATCAAATTCTAGCTTTCTACACGGATACCACACAAGCCCCCTCTTGAAATTGTCATTGTATGTCATGGTTATAAGTCATGTTAGGAACCTTTTTTTTTTTTTTTTTGCATTGGCCCATTTCATTTCTTTTCTGCCTGAAAATTATTGTCTAATGCTTTTGAGGTATTTAAGAGATAAAATGAATGTACCAGCTATTTCAGCATGATGGTGACACAGCTTATGCTTTCCCTACATAGCTAGTTCTAAAGCAAATACTGATTTTCCTCCTGCAATTCACCCTTGTCTACTGAATCGGTCACCCAATGTTCTTGAAGTATTTTAAACTTTTTCTTAAGAGTTCTCCTGAAAACTTTTAAGTCCAAGACTCGGCTCTGATCCTCCCCAACGATTACATGAGAAACTCCCTCAGATAAGCAGGACACTACCTTGGCTCCATGAAACCGCAGTTCAAGTGCTGTAACATCTAATCTTGTTGCTTCAATTTTGGAATTCGAGTCATTAATAACAGCATACACGTCCAGATAAATGGTGTAGTGCCGAAACATACAGAGAGGAGAGTGGTCCCAGGAATAACGATATTCTAAATCGGCAATCACAGGGGCCATCTCTTCCGGAGTCTGCTGCTCACTGAGTTTCTTAATTCCTAAAAACACTTCTTTCAGTTGATCCAAATCTGTATCAACAAAATAGCTATCACCATAGCAATCATATTCACGGGCAAAATGCTGCTTTGTTGATGGGCACATGTGAATCATAAAGCGGGGTTGCCATGGCACACATGTTTTCATTTTAAAACACTCTAAAAGCCACTCAGGCTTGACAACATCATATCGATCTGAAGAGATAATGTTTCTCACTCTTATGTTCTCACACCCTGCAATCACACAGTACGTGTCTGGGCCTGGATTCTGCACTACATAACCACCCAATTCTGCAATTCTGTTCTCTAGGTCAGTCTTGGGATAACTCTCCAACCCACTCATGACACAAAACTCAACATCTTCAAATATATTAGAAACTTTGCTTATGTTAGAAAGGTTAGGCGCTTTCAAGTGGTCAATAATTCCAATGGTTTTCTTCATTTTGGAGACAGGTTTCCGCCTCTTTTCTCTAGGTTCATCATCATCACCTACATGAAGGTGTTTGGTGGCAAGTTTCCCAGATGCTTTCCTCCTCAGCTCTTCCAAGTCATCCAGAGTCATGCATTCATGCCACTCTTTGTCATCTCTGATCTTCTCGATACGTGGGAAGCGCAAGGTGGTTCCAGTCTTGTACATGTCACTGGGGACAATCTCTGCTGCCTTAATCTGAACAATAACAGAGTTATAGGGCTCGATGTACACTTCTGGCTTCTCTGCTCCACATAAAATGCTACTCGGTGGGGATTTCTTATGAAAGGGTTTCCAGAATTTGGCCAATTTTAAGCCAAGATCATAGAGTTCTTTCATGGTATATCCTGATCCAACACGGCAGAGAGTATGGAATGCAGATGGCCTCTCACCATGAGGGGGCTTCTCTGCCACTGCACACAAAAAGTGAGACATCATGCCACCTCGTGAACCTTTACCCCAGTAGCCCCCCACAATTAAGAGGTCTAATTCATCCATTAATCCAGTGACATACTCTGGTTTAATTTTTAGCCACCCTTCACCTCTTTTGTCTGGCTTGTAGATGGACAGAGGGTGTTTAATCATGATACCCTCCTCTCTCTTATCTATAGCTTCATTTAATGCATCCACTACTTCATTCTTCGTATGAGCTAGCTTTTTCTGCACTATTTCTATTCGACCTTGGATGGGTTTAAAAGTACCATTAAGGATATCATACCTCTTCCTCAGAGTCTCACGCCCTAGCTTCTTATTATTAACCATCAACACATCAAAAACACAGTAACATGTCTGTAAGTCGGAATCATCCACCATCCTTTTGATATCAAATTTGACCCCCTTTTGCATGAAAGTCTGTGTGGTCGGGTTGTAGGCCATCATCTCACCATCAAGGATGCATACTTGCACGTCTGCCTGGAATGCATCATGAATGAATGGGGTGAGAGAGCCTTCCTGTGGAGATGCACCGAACTGATCAGTGTAGTTGTAGCCATTTCTGGAGAAGTACCGATATACCGTCCCATCTTTGTGCATCTGCATGCGTTCCCCATCCAGCTTGGTTTCGATGTAGAAACTCTGCTGCTTCATGTCCTTTTCTACGCGCTCCACGTCTGCTATGGCGGCGAGCATTGGTTTAAAGGCAGAAAAGAGAGTGATGGAGATATCACTGAGCCCTACAGAGGGGTCGTGCAGCTGCCTACAGACCTTTTCCAGATCTGTGGTGACATTGTGCAACTCAACTGCATCACTGTGGAAAACGTTAAATATAGTTTGCTGACTGATACCAAGCTTCAAGTCCTTAATAATCATGCGAATCAGCCACTTTTGCTCAAGGGCTGAACTCTGGGTTATTAATTGAAGAAGGCTCTTTTTCACTAGGTCTTTTCTTTTGCCAGAATTATTGCTGGCGACTAAGTCCAAGAGTTCATTTACTTGATGTACAGTTAAGCTTCCTTTCTGTAAGCACCTTGGCTTCAACACAAAGTACGCAATCAATGCAAAGTCCCCAGCATCCGTGCGAGCTCCACTAGGTGTTCGATAATTCAGGAGCTTCAGGGCATCCTTGCCTTCTCTTGGCAAATTCAACAGTTCAATGTAAAGCTTAGCGAGCATGGTTTCTTTGATTCCATAAGCCATCCTCTCTCTTTCTAACTGAGGAAGAATGAGTCTCATCGCTGGGTAAAAAGAATCCGTAACATCCTTCTTGTTCTTGTGAAGGGCATCATGAAATTTTCTCCAAGAATCTAAAAATTCCTTGAAGTGCCTGATCTTTTCTGCACGGTCTTTACTTTTCTGTATCCGTTCTAACGTAGAACATAAATCTGCAAAGGGGACATGAGCTGCAACAATTTGTGAAGTTTGTGAAGTGGCCATAGGAGCAACAGCAAATCCTCAGGTTTGCACTGATAAAGCAAAAAGAGAGTAACTTTAAATGGCAGGTGCAACGTATAAATATTTAAAACAATGAGCATATAGAGTCAGTTTAGATCACAATGACTATTATAGTTCACTCAAAGGAAACAGATCAACGCAATAAATGGATCCATGTGCAGCTGCTTTTCCTTCCACCCTGACCAACATTTCCAATCAGGTCTCACAGCTTCATCCTAAAACTGACTGCCATTTATCTTTTTTAAAAATGTTATTTTTCATGTGCACTGACATTTTTGCATGTATGTATATATGTTTGAGCAAGGGTGCCAGATCACAGAGAGTTGTGAGCTGCCATATGGGTGCTGAGAATTGAACCCAGGTCCTCTGAAAGAGCAGCCAGTACTCTTAACTGCTGAGCCATCTCTCCAGCCACCAATTTATCTTAAATGCTAACAATCGTCGGTATTCCGTCTCCTAATTACTTAGCACAGAACACAAAAATATTATTCTTAATAATGAAAAAAATCAAGTCAGATGAAGGCTACTTTATTTCTCGGTCTCAGATGAAGGAAGAAGGTCTGTTTATGTTTCTTCTCTCTTGGATAATTATACAGCACTCAAAGCAAACTACTTGCCATGGGTGCTTTTAACAAATCACTTGCTCGCTGAACTGGAACCTGATTTCTTAGGCATTCTGAAATCCAAATAATGGCTGACAAAACAAACAACAGTGATCCTTCTCTTCCAGTACAACAGAGCTTATGTGTTTATTTAACTTCATTCCTTCACTGATGACTATGACAAAACTTCTGTCATTCATAACCCAACTGGAAGTCCTTTCCCCATAACATCCTTATTTTTACTTATTTTTGTCACAGACACACAAATATCAACTAATTTTTATATTTCTTTCTGTTCATATCTTTGTGCTTTCTACTTCCCAAATGTTCAGTGCCTACTTATAAGCCAGGCAATATGCTATGGCCAATAGAGTGTACTCCTGCTTTAAGAAAATGTACATTCTATAAAGAACAAAGGGTATAATAAGAGCAGGCTATAATAACATACTTAGTGCTTTACCAAAAGGAAAATTAAAATCTTAATCCTAACAACCACCACCCTTTCACCAAAGACATCTAAAATCAATAAAGTAACTGAGTAGGGTCTAGAATGTTTCCTAACATGGTTACATATGTATGAAATTTGCCTGCTGTTTAAATATCCCTGTGAGTTCTATAGGGAGGGATCCTTGCCAGTTACTTTAACGTGGTTTACATTACATAACAGTCAAGCAAGTTTTCTAAAAGTAATCTCAAGCAAAATGTATGTTCCAAGTATCACAATCATGCTTTATTGAATGACTTTCGACAACAGCACTTGGCCAGGAAGTGGGGATTATGTTAAGTCCCCACCTTCCACACCCCACAAAGAAAAGTCTCACAATAAATGGTAATTTGTGCTAAATATAATGCAGATCTGTTTGGAGAACTAATTATTAACGTTTACAAGTGATCTGTGGGAAAGCACATGGAGGTGGGGACCAGGCTGGTTAAACATTGACACCAGCAAAACTAGCTGCCAGTTTGGATCTGTCTGCACTGGCAATGATTCACAGCAAGTATTTGTAGCTCATGGACAAAAAGACAAACTTTGTTTCTCAGTCTTATTTTTAACAGGGGAAATTCAACTAACCCAGTGGATTAGATCAAGATAAGCCCACCTGGGGCTGTATCTCCTGACCTTTCTAACCGATTTTTGTAAACTGCATCCACTGCTGGAGCTGGTTTGCATAACTGACTACACCACCTGCTTCCTTCAAGTGGGTACTGGATGGTGCATAATACTAATTATAACTTCTGTGCAATGCATGTAAACTGAAGTGTTATTAGGAAATATAGGAAATATGTTCTGAATCTTCAAGTGTAGGTGCATTTCTATGTGTCCATCTTTAGGATATATACCATTTCAAACTTTTCCTCAATAAACTTGAGCATCGATTTAGATGAGTTTATATTAACTGTGTATTTTAGGCAACGGTGTGAATACGCATGCATCTTAAAATAACTATAAACACCTATAACAATGGTTGCAAACTTCTAAAACATACAACTTTTATTCAATGTAACTGCAAGAAAACTTAAATACCGGAATTTCTGTTTTTACCCGCTCTCCAATTTTATTTTACTTTTCTGCATCCTGGGGTTTAGGATGATGTTTTGCATTTGCAATAAAACAAATTATGATCATTGGTAGGCTTCGGGCGCTGAAGAAGCTTTGGAAGGTGCTTAACATGGTGCCTGGTTTCAGAGAGACTAGGACACCTGACACACTTTAATGCTTGCTCACTCAGCAAACTATAAAACCCAATAGTTCCGAATCGAATAACGAATAGCTCGGCGGAGGGGGTCGGGGGATGCAGAGAATCGTCACTCTCAGAATGAATGCAAGTCATTAGAACAGGGTGTCACCTAGTGCCACCTCGAAACAAGTCAGCAGCTGTCCGGCTGCACCGTAGAAGGCGTCACCCCACCACAAGCTTCGGGGTGGCGACACTAGGACTTGCGCGGGAAAGGTGCCGACTCAATAGGACCTCGGACCGCCACCACCCCTCTCCCATCCTGCCATACATACCTCCTGCCTTTCAGCATCCCCTCTGAACGTCCAACCTCACGCTCACCGGAAGCAGCCTCCACCAGAAACCGGTGCACCGTTTTCACCAGGTGCTTACCGCGCAGTCGCAGTGTGGGACAGGAGAACCTGGCGCGGTGTAAGAGAGCGGGCATGTGGGGTGCGCAAGCGTAGTGATGAGCAAGCAGGCGAGCGCAGAGGCTCACGGCGCCTGCGCAGCAGCGTCTCCCGGGCCTCGGGCTGTAGTTGAGGCTGTTTCTTTCCACGCCGCTGGGTGCCGTCGTTGAGCCGAATTTGGAGCAATGGGTTCTGCCCGGACATGCTAGGCTGTAAACCTGCCAGGAGGCAAACGCATCCCTCCCTCCTAAAGCGTCCAGGACTGCAGGAAAAAATCCTTTTGCAAAAACTATCTCAGGCTCTGTGTTCGTAGCGTTTTCACTGTGCGGAAGCAACACGCTATGTCATAGCCATGCATGAGTCATGGCACAGAAGCATACGTGCATAGACGACAGGCCTCTCAAATGTGTTCGGCGGCTGGAAATAAAGTTAACCGATAGTTTTGTTGAACTCCTACTGTCGCTCGATAACCGTACTAGATATTCAAGGTGGATGGAAATATAAACGCATGCCCTACACCTCAGGAACTCTGGAAATGTGGCCGTGATCTGCCCTATTCCACCAACGAGAATGCAGAAAATTATGGGGCAAAGGCGAGAACTTCTGGGATTATTTCTTTTGGAAGTGAAATTTTGCAGCTCCAGTAAAGGGCGGGAGTGTTAAGAGCTTTTAAGGGCTGTCTGGTGTGCAGGAATCTTATTCACAACACCAACAGTTCGGGGATAGTTTGTGGCCAGTTACTTTCCGATTAGTTCGCCCAGGTCTCCCGAATGTCGCCGGTGATGGGGTAAAGCCACGGGTTACTGTGGTCAGAGGAGGCCCCGCTGCTGGTCTGCGGATGCGACTCTGGTCCTTGTCCAACTTCTACCCAGCTCCGACCTCACACAGGTTGGGTTTGCGTTAGTGATAGCAGAACCACGAATTATGAAACAGGAAAAACTGGAAATTGATTCTAAGTCCTGACAAGAATGTCTGGTTTTAGCTGCACGGCTCATGGAATCAAAATTGTTGGTTGTTTGTTTGTTTTTTGTTTTCTCCTCGCGGAATAATTTAAAACACAAAAAGGAATAGAAAAAGACGTGATTGCCCCTGGGTATGGTGGAACAGAGAGCTCATTGTAGATAAAAGGTAGAGCATAACCAGAGGCAGAGACAGCTGGCAGAATCCGGAGTGAACACGACCCTGAGCTGGGTCTCAGGACTGTCAGACAGACAGTGCAGCGCTTTGCCTCGGGAATTCAATCCCTCAGGCCGGACGGACGGACGGAAAGACAGAACAGCGCTTTGCCTCAGGAATTCAATCCCTCACGCTTCCTGCAGTGTGTGCCCACCTCGTACCAGAAACGCGGAGTCATTTTTTTTTTTGGCTCCTCCCGGCCACCGTCGTGGGAGGGCGGAGCCTGACGCTGTGCGCATGCCCAGAGGGACATCCTGGCTTCCTACTCCGGGGAGGAAGCCGGAGAACGGGTTATGTGGGGGCCGGCGGGGGCATTTGCCAGCGACACCGCGCGCGGGCCGGAAGTGAAGGCTGCGCCAGCCGCGCCGCAGGAGCTCCAGGCTCGACGGTGGCGACGGCGGCCCCTCGGCGGGAGGAGGACGATGAGGAGCGGCGGGGGCGGCGCGGGGCCTCGCTGCTGCGCGGAGCCGGGTTCCGAGCCCGCGGCCGACTGCGCAGCCCGCCCGCGAGCCTGAGTGAGTGCGGTGGGGACGCGGGCGGCTGGGATCCGGGAGCCGGCGTCGCCCTCGGTCCCCTCCCTTCCCCCGCCCGCAGGGAGCAGTCGGTCAGCAAACCCCGGGCTTGGGTCGGTAACAGGTGCAGACTAGCGAACAGCGTGGCTGCAAGCTTTGGGGGCCTTAAAATTCAAGTTTTCTCACACCCCAAGTCACTTGGCCGGGAGTAGACTTTTACCACCATTGATGCGAAGCGAGAATGCATCGGGGAGTGTACTTGGTGTACTTAGCTGAGCTGTCAACCGAAAATGAACCCCCTTCAGCTCTTTGGTTATTTTGTTTGGTTTTTTTTTTTTTTTTTTTTTTTTTTGCACTTGTTTACTACATAGCAGTAACCTAGGGGCCCGTTGGCTTTGAGTTTGGCATTTGGGTTTGTTTGGGGTTTTTTGTCGATCCATCCTGTCTTCTTGCATGAATTAGTACTTAGGTGTGTGCATGCTTAGACATGCGCGTTTCTGAAGCACTGCTTTATCTCATTGAGAATTGATGGTTGTCCGTGTAGAGTTGTGTCATAACTGTACTAGCTGAGACATCACCACCCAATTGAGCCGTGATTGAGTTGGAATTGCACTACACCTTGAGCCTTGCTGTACATGGAAAGTGTAAAGTGAAGTAACATAAGGTCACTGCCATCAAGGAACTCCCAGCCTGTGTAAGCATGGGCTCCTCAGCACATGGGAGAATACTGCCGCATAAGTTGGCACTGACTACAAAATGAAATTGCTGGTGGTAGCAGGAAGAAAAGTCCAAGGGAAGCTTTCCAGGGGATCTGTAGACTGAGCTGGGTGGTTTTCAACAGTAAAATGAAGCCTTACCCTGATAACTTTACTACATGCAAACGTAGTAACCACCAGTGAGTCATTGGCTGTGATGTAGCTGGGATTCACCATGCCTGCTGAGACCATAGGCAATAAAGTGCTTGAACTTTGTCCCTGAAGCGGCCATATTTCAACTAAATGCTTCATCCTGCCTTTGTGTGTTAGGAAATAGTGGAAAGGATCAACCTAGTTGAAGGCAAGCTGCTTCTACACTTATAGCTACAGGTAGCACTTGGCTGGCTGCCTTCCCCCCCAGAACACTGCAGGCAGCTTGTCTTCTGAACTAGAGAGTTACTGGCCAGACTTTCTTGGACCAACTACTGGACATAGTACAGAAACTCAGGCAATGGGCTATCAATCTCTGCAGTTCCGGTGTCTTTCTAATGATTGTTGGTCTGCCTCAGGGAAACCCCAGGCCCTTGAACACCCACTTTAGAATAGATCTAGGACAAGCCCCAGTTCTTGTAATTAAGATGTTTGTCGAGTGACAAGCTTCCTAACACCTTATTACATTTTGTGCCACTGAGTCTCAGGAGGCTTAGATCCCAAAGCAATGAATTCTGCTAAGTTTGCTTGCCAGGATTACTGGTTTTATCACAGCAAGAATGGCCTAAGTCTAGATTGACCTCAGGAACCTAGACACTTCTGTGAAGTCTCCTTCATATAAAAAAATAAATTTCAGCTCAGTGGCTAAAATCTGGCCTGTTTACAATAGTTTATCCCTCTACAGTCTGTCATCAGTATTCAGGATTTTAGGCTTGAGAGTTTCTTTCTGTTGTTTACCATTTTCTTAAGTGCAGATAAATTCTCAGAACAAATTGTTATTGGCTTCCATGGTGACAGTAATCTACCATCCAAGTTTTTTGCTAAGATGACTGCATTTGCTCAACCTTCAGGGTTTCCAGGGAGGAAGCGTGGAGATGATACCTGGTATGATTTGGAAGTGTCTACTTCAGGTTCTAATACTCTCTGGACCCCACAGTCTCTCCAGAGTCTGTAGGCAGATCTGTTCATCTGTCCCCGAGGACTATTAAAACACACTTACTCATTATTGGTGGCATGTGGGTAACCATCAGGGAAATGGATAGCTGTTCCGAGGCATCTTCAGCATGCCGAGGGCAGCTATTTGTGTTTGCATCTCAGCTGTGCAGCTGGTAAAGCGTGAGAACGCCCAGTGCTTAGCAGCAGAAAAGAAAAGTTGGTGTGAGGAATGGAGTTCTGTGCTCCTTGAGATGAGATTGGAATCTGTGAATTCCCCCAGGTTACTAATGAGCATCTGGAAGTTGTCCCCTTGAGACATAGTTATCAGCAGGGACCTGTGCTCACTGCTCTGACAGTTTTCAGCCAGCTAGATATTGTAATTGACAAAGGTGGTTTTCAAAGATCTCTTGTTTAACAAGTATAAACTATACTTTTATCCACTTTATTAAAAATTATCTGAATAAGCAGAGAGTCATTTTATCTGTGGGGTAGTTTTGACCTTTATAAAATATAAATGTGGTAAAGAAATTGATTTGACCAGTTCAGTATCTAGTTTATCACCACACTGAAAATTAAAATACTTTATAGCTGAGTTTCAGTTATCATATATTTGTTACTCTTCCAGGTGAAATATTACTGGATAAGAACTCTTATATTGCACAAAGGATTTAAATAGTATGCTGTTCTTAATTTGCAGGACTGAAGATTATGGTGGAAGGCAGTAGAGATACTTACATTAAAGTGTTAAAGCTCTCAAGCTCTGGTTTCAGGTCTCTCTGTCTCTGTCTGTCTCTCTCCCTCTTCTGTGTGTGTGTGTGTGTGTGTGTGTGTGTGTGTGTACGTGTGTACATGTACACCTGAATATTGGTGCCCTCATAGTTCAGAGGAAGGCATTGGATCTATCTCCTAGAGCTGTGGAGAGCTGTCCAGCTGAACTCAGGTCCTCTGCAAGAGTAGTGTTTGCTCTTAACCACTGAGCCATTCTCCAGCCTTTAGGACCTCTTTATATTTTGAGTAATTATTGAGGATCAAAGAAATTTGAATTGTATAGATATTTTATTGTGTTAGAAATTAAAAGTGGGAGTTTATGAATTAGTAATAAATCCGTGACAAAATAACAAGCAGCATTTCTTGTACACCTCCTGTAAATTGCAAAAGTAGGACTATAGCATTGTTTACCATTTTTAACATCACTTTGATGCCTGCTAGGCAAGGCTTCTGCATCCATGCTGTCTAGATAAAGCATGCATATGTAGACCCACACACTGCTGTGACTGTAGGTGGAGGAGCAACGTGTTCTTTGCTGCTGGAGCACATTGTAGAGGTAATTACTTAAAGGTCATTTAGATTGTGGTGTTAGAAACCTGTGTCAAAAAAGTCTTGGTGCTCATGCAGTGGAACCCACTGGATATGTGTCACATTAGACTTCTGTCAATTTTTGGCCATTTAGAGTATGTTCACTGAATTCAGCATTTTCTTTCAAATGGTAACACATCACACATCTAATCAATCAGTTGCCAAAAATCATACTTTCTGGTATCACCGCCACTGCAGAATTGTCAGTCTTCAAATATTAGAAATTTGAGCTTCATTCATCTCTTAAAAAAAAAAAAGTCTTGTAAACACATACATCTGCTAAATATAATGGCTGTTTCTTATTAAAGGAAAAATATGTCCCTGTGAAAAGGCATCTAGTGTAACCTGCACTTCAGATGTGTGTTTCAGGCATAGCACAAGAGCTTCATGAGTATCCCTGATACCACGCCTACCACAGAAGCTTTAAAGGTGTTAGCAGACAGCTGGCTGTTTACTGTTCCTTCAGTACTATCTCATGAATCTGGTTTTCCCCCTTCTTCACCAAGCTCATAGCTGGGGTGGGAGGAAAGTCTTGCCTGTTGACTCTGCACATAGACGCTTGCTTGGGCACGAGTGTCATCCATCATTGCATACCCACAATAGCTGTTAAACACTGAAAAGTTAGCTAGCACCACAGTGTCTTAATGAAGACAGTGCTGATCCTGTGGACCCTTTAGGGCCTTGAGCAGCACCAGAAGTCTGTGCCATGTTTGAGAACTTGAGGCATAAAACCACCCATTTCAGCTGGGGCCTCAGAGTTCATAGAACCTAACTGCTTTAATTCCCTCTCTGCTGTCCTTGCCAAGTATGTATTTAGATTTTGAATCTTTTGTATTTCTATGAATAATTGTGCTAAGTGATTAAAAATAAGTGGCACAGACAGCTGCTTAATGGAAAGGAAAGAATCCTAGGTCTGCAATTATGCTTTGTCCTGCTTTTAAAAGATTTGTTCAAGTTTTCCCTTGATTTCTTTGGTGATTGTTGGTGGTAAAGGTTGAAGTTTGCTTTTCTGTGTTACAGAGGACTATGAGCTTTGATTTCCTTAGTGAACGTGTGTGAAGCAGGTACACTCATGAGTGTGTGTCCACCATGCAAACAGCTCAAAGGTTGCTTAAGATGTACTCAGCAGATCATAAGGCATACAGTAGCAAAAACTGACGCGTTGGTTGTGTTCAAAAATACAAAATTAAGCATCAGGATTCAGAGTGGTGTCCTTATCTGTGACATTGTCCTCCATCTTTAAGTGGTATAACATAGTAAGATGTGTGAGAACCTAATGATCTCAGTTTAGAGACATGGCTAACATGCCAGCTATAATAATCTCCAGTCGTTCACATGGGTCTGATAGCACCCCAGGGGCCTACAGCAGTATTCTAAGGGGTAGGGGTAACTGATAATGAATTCTTTTTTTTTTTTTTAACACCAGTTTATAGGATAGTTAAATTTTTTTTTCTTACTTTATGTATATGAGTATGTGTTTGTGTGAGAGCCTGTGTGAGATAACCTTTACATTGTGTGTGCAGAAAGTTTGGAGGCCAGAAGAGGGCATTGGATCCCCTAGGATAGAGCTTGAGGTGGTTGGGAGCTGCCTCTTGGTAGGTGCTGGGAATTGAATGAGCAGCAGAAACACTTAACCAACGAGCCATGTCTCTAGCCTGTAAGATGTTTTCTTAGTAATGAAGCCATTTGTATCTTTCAGGCACATGTATCAGTAAGGGAGCACAGGGCTGAGGAGGTCACATGAGTATGGCCGGCCATAATGCTTATTAAGTAGTTTTTCATTTCATCTCATCTTGGTTGGTATTGCATAGGAATCAGCCTTCCCTGTACCTCACTGAAGTACCTTAAAGGAAGGACAGAAACTGCATGGCAGTAGCTGAAGCCCAGATAGCAGGGCAGGGTACAACCCTGATTTGGCAGGGCAGGCTACAGCACCTTTTTTAAACGTGGCACTCACCAGAAAGCATCGAGCTTCTTGGGACAGAAGTGGAGCTGGGCTATAACTCTCAGGGCCCACATCTAGTAGACCTAGGTCTACCAGACAAACTGCAGGCCCCAGAAAGTTCCACAGTCTCCTAAAACAGTTCAACAAGCTGGGGAGTAAGTGCTGAAACCCATGAGGCTGTGGGGGCATTGCACATTTAAATCATAGCTGAGTGTACCTGCCATGGACTTAAAGACCTACAGCATCAGAGCCCTAGAGATGTTGAGAAGTAATTGGGATGTAGGAAGTCACCAAGTGACTACTGTGATTACTTATAATTATCTTGATCGAAATTCTGATGCAGTGTAAGACATAGCCGATACTTCACATTAGTGTCTCGGGAACAGTTCTCTTAGGGGAAAACAAACCTGCCCAACCTGGCTTTGCAGATTCCTGTGTTCTGTTTCCAGAGAAGTACTTACTGACAGCAGTGTGATAGCACAGAGCATGCTGTTCAGAAAACATGTTCCCTTCATATATTAGTCAAGCATATTGTAGCGGGGCGTATACCTTTTGATTCTGTTATGTAAGGTTGGTGGCATTGATGCTGTAATGTATAAATTCTAGCACGCCACACTTTTTGACTGTAGTTAACATGGTACACTAAGTGAGGAGGAGCATGTGTTTAGCTTGGGTAAGTTTGAGCTATCAATAAGGTATCAGGTATTGGAGAACAGAGAGATGGGGAGTGTAGGTAAAGAATAGACATGCTAATGAGACTAATTCACATTAAAATGTGCTGAGAGTCTTGACAATGAAACCCCTAGGGGAGAAAAGGTGCTTGCTTCTATTACCATAGTACAGGGCTGAGAAAATTAGTGTTAAAAGGCAGAGACACCTTGTGGCTCACACTTACAGAGTTCACTGTGCTCCTTGCTTTGTATGTGCACAGGGCAGGATGTGATTGATAGCAAAAACTGCCCACACATTGCCCTGACTTTCTCTAGTAAACCCCACTTCCTGACACTCCATGTCTTCCAAGGGATATTGGGGACGGCCACATCCAGACTGTCCCAGCAGTGAGCAGACATTAGACAGCTTGCAGAATGGTCCACTGGAGAGGAGAGGGTCAGATTATAATAGATATTGGAGTTGTTGACAATGGTTGAGACATTTGTGTGATGTTGTCTGATCATGTCTGATAAGGTGGCAAGGAAAGAATTGAGAAACATGAAGCCAGGTATTCCCCTAGACACGGGCTAAAACCACACAGCAATAACATAACATAGAAGAATGGTATAGAAGATGCTTAGTGATTTTGTGTTATTCATAAATAGGTCTACTGCTTCTTACTGTCCAGTCAATCTATTGGTGAAAATCTTATCCTTTAGTAAACCCATTACTAAATGATGCTAATGTGTCAGTATAAAATGCATTCCAAAATGCAAAATCATCTGACAAATACTCTTTCTTTGTGATAACTCAAATATTTTGTTATGTGACATATACTTTGAGGCACAGTTGATTACCTCATTTATGTCACATGACCAAGTCTTGGAGTTAACTGGATATTTCAGACTTGAAAGACGTAAGTACTACACAAGGCACCAGCCAAGCTCTGCATAATTCAGTGGTGATTTCTAGTGAGCTATGTTGGCGTCAAGTACATCTTTCCCATTAGTAGCTCAGGTACAGTGGGAAGATGGCACAAGAGGAGGAGTAGGTCCTACACAGTACAACTATTCTCTGCTTCTCACAAAATACTATCTTATTAACAGTCCATGGGTGTAGGCTCCAACACCCAACAGAGGACACACTGTTTCATATGGCACCCAGCTCAGAGAAGCTCTCACTTAAACTTTCCTGTAGCCCTTGATTTTCTCCTAACCATGAAGGAGCTCACCAGCAGCTCACAGTGCTCAGCCTATAGCCTACCCTTCTCAGGCATCCAGGGAAATAGGCCTGAAGGTTAAATTCTGGTTGCTTTTTATATGCCAAAGGAGGAGCTCTTGCTAACCCTTTATCTAATTAGCAAGCTAGACATAGAGCACTCATGCAGTACTGCCATAGCTCTGTGCAGCTGGCCTTTTCATAGTCAGAACATCTGGACTGTGTGTAGTTGATAATGCAGGTGACTGGTTTGCTGACTGCTCTTCAAATTTAGCAGACTAAAAGTCCTTCTTAAAATGACATGCCATGTTGGAGTTACCCTATGGGTATCCTTGAGGTGGATGGCGGTGTCAGCAGACTGGGTTATGTGGTATCATTTTGACCCATGTCTATCAGTTTGAAGGAAACAGTCATTCATGTTCATTTTATTAATGTGTTCTAAAAAACACTGAGGTTCGATTGGTATTCTTCAAAATGGGCTCATAATTACTCGTGCACTGTGACCTAACCATTCATTGTAAATTATGTTTGTCATATTTTTGTTCTCAAAATTATGTTATCCTTTAATATGACCTTGAGGAAGGTGTTTTGGAAACTTCTAGTTTTATTACTTACTGCTAATCAGTTATACACTTAGACAAATGACCCCATTACCCACTGCTCAGAATATGCCTGTTTTAGCAAGCTGATAATATTATTAGACATATTGGTTAGGTACATAGTCATGAGGGATACAGTACTTAGACAAGAAATGGGGCTCAGGCCTGTAGTAACTGAGGATTACAACTGTAGAGCAATCTAAGCAAACATAAATATGGGTATATGTTGGGCTTTCTAATTCCCCTTACAAGTCCTTCTTTTTTTCTTTAATAAGAATTGATTTGAAAACAAAGTCACCTAATTGCTAATTACCCAATTGCAGACACATTTTCAATAGTCACATGTTTCTAGTGGGGTTTCAGCTTGCTTTCTCCTACTGAGTTAGAGTGGGATTAGATGACCGGTTGGGAAGATGAGAGAGGTTTAAGGGCAGTAGGGTTTCAGTGTGCTTTTGCCTACTGGGTCACTGAAATGAGCCCTGAATTCTTTTTTGTTGGTTAATCATTGACACTTTGTCAAATAACTAGGTGGGCCGTGAAAAGAACAATAAGGATTTTGATTTATTTCTTAAATAAGATCTTAAGTGGTGTCTTACTACATTTTTGCAGGACTCTAAAGTGCATGTATATGCAGGCTCAGTGCTTGTGTATTATTGCTAAACCTTTTAAATCAGTTTTTCGTTTATAATTAAAATCATTGTCTTCATTGTTGTTCCTGTTACTTTGCAGAGCTGGGGATCAAGTCCCAGGCTTTTACATGTGCTAGCAGATATTCTCTCATTGACCTATATATGCTGCCTCCACATTCTTTTATATTTTATATCAAGTTGGAGCCAATTTACTTTCAGTTTTCCTTAATACAACTCAAAAATGTGTTTGAGCTTTATATGGGAAGTTAACTGTGTGCCATCAGAGTTTGCTGCTGCAAAGGGATAAACCAGCCCTGTATCAAGTATTGGCAGGTGGTGGGGATAAGCAAGCCTTGACTGGAGTGGTGTACTGAGTGTGCTTTGCACTGCACCCTACGGTTCAGCTTTAGCTAGATTTAATACCTACAGTGCTTGGATATTGCTTTTCTTTAAGTTGTGTTTTTTATTTGACCTTCAATGTTTCTTTTTCCTGTAACAAAGCTTGCTACAATTGGATGCCATTGTTTATTTCTAGGAATCAGAGAGAAAAAAAAAGATTATGCTATTACTTATGTTCAAATGACTCATTTGAATAAAAATTGAAGCAAGAAGGTTGAAGGGGGTGGAGGTCAATTGCCTAGCTTGCTGGAGCCCCTGTGTTTGGCTCCCATTACCATATAAAACTGAACATAATGGTATGAGCCTGTATGTAGTCTCAGTACTGGAGATGTGGAAATGTGGAGTCGGGAGGATCAGAAGTTCAAGGAGAGGGGTGTGTGTGTGTGTGTGTGTATGTGTGTGTATAAAATCTTTAAAGGAAAAAGTGTGGAGACATATGATGCAATAGTAAAACCTCATTTATAAAATAACTGACTTGACCAATGTGTAAGAGTTGAAAGAACTGCGGGTAAGAGGGCCTCTGAGAAGCATGCTGCCTCCTGAGTCATTGAAGAGCTAGGACAGCAGCCAGATTGAAGCCTCCATCTCCTCATGTGTAAAGATGGGAATGGTGTTAAAATTTTGTTTTGTTTTTATCAAATCACTAAGAATACATGAATGAAGTACTTGGAAGCAGATAAGTGCCTTTTCACAGTATATGGGTTTGATGAATGTGTTCTGTGACGACAGGTTGGAAAGATGTAGTATGGGGGTAATAAGGAATTGTAGTGGACAGTTTCATGGGCAGAGTAACATAGTTCCTCAAGTACTGAGTGCATGTCATGATGGGTTTACCTTTAGAGCTGCTTGCTGAGTCATTGGTCCTCTCTGTGTCTCCTAGGATATCTACGTGGAGCTACCATGGAAAAATCCTGGATGCTGTGGAGCTTTATTGAAAGATGGCTACTAGCCTTGGCGTCCTGGTCTTGGGCTCTCTGCCGCATCTCTCTTTTACCTTTGATAGTGACTTTCCATCTTTATGGGGGCATTGTCTTACTTCTGCTAATATTCGTGTCAATTGCAGGAATCTTATATAAATTCCAGGATGTCTTGCTCTACTTTCCAGAACAGCCATCCTCTTCCCGCCTTTATGTTCCCATGCCCACGGGTGTTCCACATGAGAATATTTACATCAGAACCAGAGATGGAGTACGCCTGAATCTCATCTTGGTTAGATACACTGGAGACAATTCCCCATATTCCCCAACTATAATTTATTTTCATGGGAATGCAGGCAACATAGGCCACAGGTTACCAAACGCACTGCTTATGCTGGTCAACCTCAAAGTGAATCTTGTACTTGTTGATTATCGGGGATATGGAAAAAGCGAAGGAGAAGCCAGTGAAGAAGGACTGTATCTGGATTCTGAAGCTGTGCTAGACTATGTGATGACTAGACCTGACCTCGATAAAACAAAGGTTTTCCTTTTTGGCCGCTCCCTGGGAGGAGCAGTGGCCATTCACTTGGCCTCTGAGAATTCTCATAGGATTTCAGCCATCATGGTGGAGAACACGTTCCTAAGCATACCACACATGGCCAGCACACTATTTTCCTTCTTCCCAATGCGTTACCTTCCATTATGGTGCTATAAAAATAAGTTTCTGTCCTACAGAAAGATCTCGCAGTGCAGAATGCCTTCTCTGTTCATCTCTGGCCTCTCTGACCAGTTGATTCCACCCGTGATGATGAAGCAGCTCTACGAGCTTTCCCCATCCCGGACTAAGAGATTAGCCATTTTCCCAGACGGGACCCACAATGACACATGGCAGTGCCAAGGATACTTTACTGCGCTCGAACAATTCATCAAGGAAGTTATCAAGAGTCATTCTCCTGAAGACATGACAAAAACATCATCCAATGTCACTATTATCTGATGCCACTCTCTTGATGGATGCCTTAGGTTTCAGTTTGTGTAGAATGATGATGTCCTTTCTGGGTGTATTCATGCTGGTCTGCACAGTGACTCTGAGCTTTGAAGGGGACTCAGCATTCCATTCTGATGGTCCTATAACTTTACATATTTTCAGAACTGGGCTTCTTGAGATTATTTCATATTCCCACCAAAACTTTCAGCCTAGTTATATACCCTTAACTTTAAGATGGCGGTGTGATGAAGCTCTTCCAAAAGTCTTTTGTTGATTAAGTGGTAAAATCTATGTTGTAATCAGATGGAGACACAAACAGGAAACCTTCAGGTGTTATTCCTTTAGTAAACATTGGGACAATCACAGTAAGCAAGCCTAGTGCTTCTGTGTTTTCACCCTAAACATTAAGATGAAGTGCATGGTGGTGTTTCATTCTTGACTTATGCAATGCGATATTTTAAATGTAAATAACACTGGTCACATGCCAATGTATATGGTTCCCTGGGTTATATCTATTTTTATGTAAACTCTATTTTGTTTTTGGTGAGGAATGAGTGTGAGGCCTGTGAGCAGATTCCATGCTCTGCTGCTGAGATCTGGGTTTTTCCTAATAATAAACAGGACCATTTTCCAATGTAGATGTACTGTGTTTCTGTTAGGTACTGTCTGGATCATGGCTAGTGAAATAGGAAGTTAGCATTTTACTACAGCTTTCTTTACATATTGAACTTTTAACATTTGTGGTTTTAATTGCAAACAGAATTTTAGCCTCTGTCAGTTTAGTTGAATCTCCAACTAAAAATTAACAGTCACAGCAAGGGCTGGAACTAGCTAATAGTTGAGTGAGGATACCTGAACACGTATGCACATTGAGCCTTAATACAGTGTTCATCTGATTGAAGTCCCAGTACCTAGGATGTGCCTGACCTGACAGAGGCAAGCATCATTTATTGACTTTTTTTGTAAGTAAATTACATAATGAAAGAAAAACAAAACAAAAAACATCCAAGTATGGCTTAATATTTCAGTTCTGTGTAATGGGGCTATGTAAAGTGACAGTCTTAGAATGTCAGTCAGTTTTTACAGACTGAACTGAAGGATTCCAAAGCTTTTGCCAGCCTGTTACACATGTAGCAATTAAGGAGTTGTGGGTGGGAAGCTGTGCTTGACAAAGTGAGCCTCTGATACCTGAAGACATTTGGCAACATTCCAGCCATGATGAGGTATGGAACCTGCCATGTCCTTTCCCACAGTCCTCACTAGGTAGATGTGCTTGAGCCCTGCACATTAGGTCAGCTCCAACACACATGATTGCAGGTAGCTTAGCTATATTTATTGACCTTCCACAAGCAGCTAGACCTTAATTCAAAACTTTCCATGAACATAGGGCTAGAAATACTTTTGCCAAGTAGCATTCCTAGCCTTCACTTTATGCCAGTGTTTAGAAAACAATAATGTATAGCAAGTATAATTTCTAAAGAATAATGTTTTTCTATAAATTATTAATTGTAATTAGTCCTGTTTTTTAAAGAGTTGGTAACTCATCATGGAGGGTGTATTTTGTATGTGTAAATTCGCCACACAATTAAAGGCTGCCTTTCATCTTGTCAGTTTTGCTATGTAGATCAACTATCCTGAATACTAATTCACTGAAAGGATGAAAAGTAACAACAGCCAGAACTCAGTCTCTTTAGAAATGAGCTGTCATGCATACTTGATCAATTTTTACCTTTACAGAGTACTGTATTCCTGCTCTGCTTCCATCAGTCACTTGGTCTGGAGGAGATTTTCAGCATTCTTCTAATGAAGTAGGACAGCTGCCCAGTCCTTGCTGTTTTCTCTGTTGCTCTTCCTGCTCAGCTTTTGCTGACTGGGACTTGAGGGATGGAAGAACACTACTGCACCACCACTTTTGTCTCCCAGAGGAACCTTCATCTTGCAGCAGAGACAGCTATGTTTAGGGTTGTAGGGCATCTCTTGTTACCACTTTTGTACTTGATGCAATGTCTTTAGATGGGTAGGGATACACACCCTTGGCATCATTTTTGAAAACTTTGTCTCTTGGTCTTGGTGAAGCATGATTTCTGCCTGAGTCACTCCTTCACTTTGGCTTCATCATTGGTAGGCATGGTTATGGTCTGTCAGTTTCTAGCTCATTGTTGAATTACAGTGAGAGAAGTGGATAAATAATCTTAATTTATTCGCTACTATGAATTTGGAAAGACAAAAGTTATCCTAAACATGACAAAACCAACGTACTTAGAAAAAAAGTCTAAAGTTCTGTATTTTAAAGAATAGAAGAAACCAGATTTTTTTTTTTCTTTAAAGATCCTACAGAGAATACTGCATACTAAGGGAAGAAAGTATTTGTTACAGACAGAAGGCTATCAGTAGGCCAGAAACCATTGACAGCAGGTGGTGACTCCTAAATTGGGAGACAGGAATACTTAGCTGATGAGACGAAGGAGCAGAAAATGGCAGAACACCATTTTAAATTAAAGTCCACTACAACATGATCCTACATCTGGTGTAACTGTCTAATGTTTTGCAAATAGGGTTTTGACCATTGAGGCACATCCATTAACTGTTGCTGTAAAATGGGTTGGTCACACAAAACTTTAAAGCACAGCTGGGCTGGGGTCACTTGACACTGAGAGTGGCCTTGGCTCTGCTGACATCACAGAGCAGTTGTGTGTGTGTAGCTGAGGATTTGTACCTGCTGATGCTTGCCCTTGTGTTAGATTTGGCTTGGGTGGGAATAGGTCTAGTAGCGATGATTGGATAGTACATGTACTCTCTTGGAAGCTGCTCTTAGTAATGGTTTATGTTAACATATCTTTCCTCCTTAACGTCAGGAGTCAGTAAGGTGACCCCTTGAAAGAAGTCACTTTTTCATCTAGGCCAGTGGGGGTCAAACAGATCTTTCACAGGGGTCGCCTGAGACCATCAGAAGACACTGTGATTCACAAAAGTAGCAAATCACAGTTGATGAAGTAGGAACAAAAATATTGTCATTGTCTGAGGGTCAACACATGAGAAACTATGTTAAAGGGTCACAGCATTAGGAAGGTCGAGGACCACTGCTGTAGGTAATCATGGACATACGTGAGCCCATTGATCATCCCCCAAGCCTTTTTTCCTCTCATGTTTGATAATTTTAAAAGACTGAAAGGAAAAAAAGTTAAGTCATAAGTAACCCTTTTGCATAGTTCACTTAAACTTAGGTATTTTCGTGTGACTCAGGTGAAGTTGGGATTGACAGCACAGGAGTCTGTCTACTTTTTAGCTTGCTAACTAGAAAATGCAAAGCTCTTTGTGTTTGCAATGCATATGCACCTCACTTCCCCTAATCAGAAACACACTGCTCACTTGTGTGGAGAGTCAGTCAGTCATCCTATTGCCAGTCAACATTTGCCAATGGCACAGATATACCTCCATTTATATTTTGTACTTTAAGAATGTAGATTAAAGCTAGAACTGTATAAGCCACACTTTTGACATAAAGTGCAATATATACATATATAACGGGTGTGTGCAACATAATTTATAACAATTTCTCTCAGTACAGCATATACTGAAAATTCATCTTCCACATAGTTAGGTACATTCGGGATGAATTAAGGTAGTCCAGTTTCATAATCTGAGCTGTAATCTTGTTATTACCATATTTTCTTTGAAATAATAATAAAATTTTATAGCTCAAATTTGAATGTTCTCATACCTGTACACTAGCCATGGCAAGGAAACATTTGTGAGGTATTTTGTTTGTTTGTTTGTTTTAAACATCTCTTTTAAGGTATACTTTTTATTTTTCTGTACTGACATGCAATAAATTGATACATGAACAATTTGGTTAATGTTAGATAGTTTGTATTCAAAGTCTTAAAAAATTCTATTCATGTATTATAGGACATTAAGGTATCTAATAGTTCAATAAAACTATGAGTTTCACTGAACATAATGAATCATACTTTAGTGATGTGAATGAAAATGTTGGCATTTCCTTCTCCCAAGAATATAATAGTAGTCCTATGTGCATTCAATTTAGGCTGATATCAGAAATATTTTCTACATATGAAATATTGTTGATTGCTTAAGCCCCAAACATCCTTTCAGTCTCATGGATATTGTTGAACTGTTTGCCCTTGTCTCCTTCTCTCAGATTTCATAAAGTACTTTTCTAGAAATTTTCATGTATTTTTTTTTCCCTCCCATTTGTGTTTTAGTCCATGACTCCAGCTGATTAAAGTGTTCTTATAGTTAGTTTTATGGGTCTACAACTTGCTTTCCTAAAAAAGACACTTGTGTTGAGTAGTGCCCACCCAGGGTGGATGATTGGAAATGCATGACATGCCTTAAAGCATCCTAGAGGAGCATCATGATCCTCACTGCTGCAGACTGTCTCACTGTGAGAAGATGTGATGGAAAGCCGGCACTCCTGAGCTGTCAAGAGTTCTCCAGACAGGAATCACTGGTTTCAGCATCTCATGTTTAACTCAACTCTTCCTTAACTTCCCACAACATTCTAGAAAATGATGATCTGATGGAACTGGGATATTGAGGGATAGGGATGGAGAAGACGGTGTTTGAATACTTAGAAATAAGGCCTGGGAATTCATGGGTTTGTGACACCAAGTCACCAAGTCTTCCTCATAAACTTCTGCAGCAGGTGAGTAAAGTGGTCTGGGGTTTTCAGGCAGAAGGACACCCCCACCCCCAATCTCTCAGTCTGAATCTACAGTACATTTGCTAATTTACTCAATGAAAGAGCTTGAAAATACTACCCATCTTGGAGTAAATTAGAATTTCTGGGATTGGAATACGAAGTGGACTCACTAAGGTTCACTCCCAAGGAATTGCCAAGAACTGAAATTTAAAAGTGTGAGACTGTAATTCCTTTAAATAGTTATATGTTTGTCATCATACAGAGGCCCTGCACACTCAATAAACCTCATGCTCTCCTAAGCCTTTTACAGTCACCAGGCTTAAGGACTGGCTGGGAAGTTCTAAAGTATGTCCTAGTAAATTGGAAACTAACTTGATACTTCCTATTCTCCACAATGCTGCCATACCAGTGCTAAAGTTCTGACAGCTGAGAGTATTGATTGAGACCTTATGATCAATATTTCTGCTTTGTTATTTGTAAAAATTCATTTGTTCTTATTTCACATGTTTAGGTATTTTACCTACGAATAACTATGGGACCTTGCGTGTGTAGTGTCCTCTGAGGCTAGAAGATGGCATCAGGTCCCTTGGAACTAGATGTTGGTGAGCTGCCATGTGAATGCCAGCCATCAAATCTCTTCAGCACCTATTTTGTCAATCTTACAGATGACAGGTCTACCAACTCTTTCCTAACTTTGAAGGCTGCCTCTCCTCAGCACCATGGGTGTTCAATTGGCTATATCTCAGAGTGAAGATAGCCTTTGCTATTCTTCACACATCTGATTCAAATCTCACCTTATTTGTGAATTGGATTCGTTCTACTCCAGACTCAGACCTGATATTTGTGTCTGTAAGTGCCTCTGAGACCTGGACTCAGGCTTGTGTGAGCCCAGAGCATGTTTTTTCTCTTTTCTTGAATATCCATCACATTTAATCTTTTGTCTTATTGCTGGGTATACTTAGGTGTCTATTA